CCAGCGCAAGCCGACGGCCGCGCACACACAGGCGGTCCCGCGGGCCCATCCCGCCAAGGCACCGCCCCGGCGCGCGATGCATTCCTCCTCAATTTCATCGAACACATTCCCCTCGATGCGGCGTGGTACAATGCGCTGCACGCCGCAGGGTTCACCGAGGCCACACTGCGGCGCTTCTCCGAATTGGAAGAGAACCGCACCCGCGAGTTTCTCGAGGGGGCAGTTCCCGGAGATGAAGCCCCTGGACAGATTCCTTCTTGCTGCCGCCATTCGTAATCTCTCTTCCTCGCTCTAAATACTTATGCTGTGTAGATGTTCCAATGGGTCCTATGTTTATTTTACTGAACATCTGTGCGAGTTGTTCCAAAAATGACCTAATGCAATTTTGATGTCTTGTTCTTACGAGCCGCAACGCGGACATCTCTTATTTATGATACTCACTCAAAAGGTCGGTTGAGCTGATAAGGTTGTCATCAAATCGCCGTTGATTTCACTGGTTGGGGAGGAGAAACGGCCGCGTGCCATACACCACATCCCCGTTAGCTGACTTGTCTGATGAGCAACAACATCTGTGCTACTCGACGACAACGCACTCCGCCAAGTAAACTTGACTTAAACCATGCTTACATGCCGCGAGATATTGTTCGTCACTTGACGGTGGGCTCGCCAAATGGAACGCTGGTAAATGCGAGGAGAATGAGCGAAAACTCAATGGGAAGCCACGCCACACCTACCTGAGAATCGAAGAAGAAGTTTTGCTTATCCATTTGTTCATGTGTGGGTCTAAGCTACGAAGGTAGACAGACAGTTTGGACATTCCAGCAGTTCGTAGGAGGTAAATCCACGGATGAAGTCCCCCAGTCGAAACTTTGACGTCCAGCAAAGTCCAAGGGGCACAGTTAATGCTCTGAGTAGCGTTTCAAGTGACGTCCGAGTCTTTGGATACAAAAATCGCGGTTAACGCGCCTCTGATCGTCCTCCACAATACTTGCCCAGCGATACAGCAGTTCTACTTCTTACAATCTTTCGTAGGGCCTCTGGGTGAATATCAAGAGTGGCTCAAGTGTGATTCTGTCTTCTGCGTACTGGGTCAGGAACGCGCAGCGGACGACTGTACGCCACGCACCATTTAGGAGAGGACTAGAATCAATCTTACGGAGACTCGTCTGTCTTTGGAGGCACAGATTCGTCTTGCGCACAGTGTACTTCCTGCAATGGACCCGTCCAGAAGGATGAAGCTGGTGGTGGACAAGCTGCGCGGCATGGCGTGGCTGCCGACGCTTCCCCTTTCGGTTTGTTGATCTCGGCAAGAGTCTCAGCTCCTTGTCATCCTCCACTACTTATTTGCAAGAGGGGCGTCTTTGAGACGCCCCAAGGGCGTGTACAGCGAAGACCGAAGGAAGATGGACACAGCTTTACGGCTCACGGACGGACGGGAATAAAAATGGGATCGAACCGCATTGACGTCGGGACACTTCCAAAGTCAGCCAGGATCTTCTCATGTACCAGTACATACTGGCCGCATCTCAGCTGTCGCCCGGCCGTATGCCTGCCGTCGAGTTTGCTACCCTCGTCCTATCCCAAAGTCTGGTCGCCTCTCCCCGGCTGACGCACGCATACTGGCCTCGGCACAGGGAGAGAGAATATCAATTCTGCTTCAGCATTGTGAGTTTCATCCCTTTATTCCCTCCTTCTTCCCCTATCAGGCGTGTCGGCGTTGATATGGTAGCCTGCATGTGCAGTTTGTGACTTGTTCGCCGCCGCTCCTCAATTGGCTACTCTGGCGGCCGCGCTTCCCCCTAAAGCTCTCCGAATCATGTCATTTCGGCGCATGCGCGCATGCCCCACCGTCCTGCACCCTCTGCTCTCGAAGATCCGGCACACACCCGATGGAGAACCAACCGCAACGCGCCGACATTCGCAAGTGCCACTTCGACTTCTCGGCCTCCATTTATTCGACGTGCGGATCCGGATTGTCTTCATGGCAGTCATTCTCTAGTAACTCTCCAATTTTGCGGGCCTCAGATCTAAAGTTACGCTCCTTCACGCGTGCGCATAGCAAGGATGCGATAATCCCTGCTCTCATCGTACTTGGTAGCTCCACGCGCTAATGGTGCGTGAGATTTGATATTTTTCAGATTGGTGCTCATCGCCAAACAGATCTTTTGCTGCGGCTTCGAGCGCAATACCAATAAGCTCTTATCAGAATGTCCACCAGATTTATTCGCTATGTAAGATGAATGTCTCTGACAAGTGTCTGACGCCGCTCTTTAGTACGCCGCCGTGCTCTTGACTCCATCCAAGTATGCTAACCACGAGTGCCAAGCGATCAGTTCCTCGTACCACCTATCATACAGCAACCAGCCAGCCTTATGTCAGCCCAGCATTTACACAAATATGATATACCGCACCTGGCAACATTTGGGTTGCTGTTCATGATGTCGGATCGGCCCGTCGCGAGGAGCGGCGCGTAGGGGAGGTAAAACAGATCCGCAAGGGTAAACGCCTGCCGCAGTTCTTCTCAGTTCGCGGTTGACAAGCGCTCAGGAAAAACTTACATCGCCTTCAAGGTAGCGCTGCTTGCCCAGGATTGCGGTGTACCCGTCGAGCTTCTTGTCCAAGATAGCCGTCTGCACATCGACGATGGCCTGGTCGCCCTTAACTTTGTGGAACATCCTTGAGTCGATGCCATTGATCAGCGGAATACATGCGCAACAGACGGTGGACTTACGGTTTGAGGACGGTCTCCGTCAAGATTGCGCTTGCGCTGGGGTCGAAGTTTGAGACTTCCGCGGCCGCTGCCTGTTCGAAGAGCGCGTTCGCCTTGGGGTCCGTCGAGATCAGCCCCGACTTGGGGTGCTTCGCGGCGATGTAGCTGCAAATTGTGCGCGTCTCGTACAAAATAAATCCGTCGTCGTCCTGATAGCGAGTGAGCTCAGTCAGAGACGCTGCAGGGAGGGGTACGAACGATATAGGGGATCTGGCCGAACGGCTGCTTTTCGAGGTATGCAGGGGTCTTGTGCTCACCCTCCATAATGTTGACCTCGATCAGCTCGAAGGGGACTTTCAGTTCATGTAGAACGGTGGCGACGCGCCGGGTGCACGTCGCTATGCGCGATCCATAAAGTTTGAGTATGGCTATTAATGTTAAGGTGGAGTGTTCGTCAGATGGGTAGAGATGAGTGGTTTAGTAATCATAACTAACGAGCTTTTAAAGATGAACGTTTTGCGGGAGACCGCGAAATCAAAGAGCGGCCTCCCGACAGACGCTGAAAGTGTGTTGATGACGCGAAAAATCATGACCAGAATAGATGGCCACGCCCTTAGAAGGCGGCCTTCCTTCATTCAATCACACAACTTCGAGCCCAGCTGAACCCAACTGGACTGTCTTCATCCAAGACCGATACGTCGCGTGCGTTATCGCGAAGTTGGGCCGCTGGCTCTTATCACTCCAGATGAGATTCTCTACTAGTAGGCCCTGTCGCTGTGTCTTTCAGCGGGTCTTCTTTCAGCTCTCACTCACGCCCATGCTCACATAGCGTCGACAGGACGAAGCAGCCGAAGCAATGGGTGAATTCGAGCTTTTAAGCTCTCCCTTGTTTTAGCAAATTTTAGGAAACGAAACGATTGACTCACAGTACTCAAAATTGTTTCTGCTAATGCCAGTGAATATCCTCACCAATCATAGCACTTGCAAGTTCATTTGCCAATAAACCGCCATTCATATCGAATCAATGGTCAACGCGTATTGTATGGGTGAATCAAGAACAGTAGGCGATTTCCATTAATAAACAAGGGCTTTCTACCCATCTCAGGACCTCGGATATACCGGCAGGATTTCTTTAACACTGACATCCGCTGCCCGGATATACGCACACAACTGGGAAGATTATTTGAAATCCGCCGGAAACCTGTATGTAAAAATGTTTCGCCAGTATTAAGGCGCAGAGAGTTGATTACTTCAACCAGCCTTGGTCTTCCACCTAAATTAACCAGAGAAAAAACGACAGGCTTGCCGAGAATACCATGAGGCACTGCGTTGAGGCCCTACGTAGTCACAGGGTAGGCGACGTTGGTCTACCTTGGTTTACCCCCAGTAGATGCACGTAGTCACAGGTGTACGTAGGGCCTCAACGCAGTGAGGAGGAATTGAACCTCCATCACCTATCAGCTACTTAACTCTTCATTCAAGTCGTACGGGTGATTTCTCTTAATCAACTAGGGCTTTACACCCCTTCAACTGAACTTAGATATACGCACATGTATCCAACTGTTAGACTGAATGAAGCCTGAACAACCGAATGCCAGTCCGGCCAGGTGCAGTGTGACGATAAAAATTCCCCACGCCGCACAGATATGTATATATGTATGTTCCAGTGCAGCAGCAGCACTAAACAAATATCCTGAATCAAAAAAGAAAAAGAGAACTAGGTAAGGTATATGCCCTAAGGAGGATTCGAACCTCCGTCTCCCACGGGAATGATCCGCTAGCGAAGCACTTCATTGGTTGTGGGTGATTCACCATTAATCAACCAGGGCTTTATTCCACTCCAATGAACCTGGATATGTGCGCAGATTTATCCACCCGCCAGCTAGAAGGTTGTTGCATCGTTACATCTTCGTATAAATGCTTGAACGCGAGAATAATAATTCAGCGAGCATAAATGCGGCAGTCTGGATCTGGGATCTGAATCAAACCAGAAGAGAAAGAAAAAACAGCAAGTATTAATAGAGCCGCTATGCCTTCGGGAGAATTCGAACCTCCGTCTCCCATTTAGCAAGCCTTTTTTTCGACTCTACTTAAAGCTAGGCTTTACATCCATTCAACTGAACCTGGATATACACGCACATATTTTTCAAAGCTGCCGAGAACTAGAGAATGAAATTCTCACATGTGGAAGTCAAGAGAATCTATCCGCCGCGCGGCCTCCCCAAATAGATGCAATTTCATTTTTGAGTTTAAAGCTTTGGAAACAGAAAGACGACTTCATCCTTTCAAATGCCCCGAGGAGGATTCGAACCTCCATCTCCCACGTGAATGCCATCGGAGAGGCTGTATCAGTGGTGGGTGATTTCCATTAATCAACCAGGGCTTTATTCCTCTCCAACGAACCTGCATATATGCATGTTTGCACCGAAAAAACTTCTTACAACTCCGTGTAAATGCTCGAACACGAAACGAGCAGAAAGCAGCAGTCGGCATCTTAAATCTAAATCCAACCAAAAGAAGTGAAAGAGAGAGAAAAAAATCACAGTCGGACCATACCCTCAGGAGGATTCGAACCTCCGTCTCCCACTTATTGAGTTCTTCGGCAAATTGTCACGAACCTAATTCGCTTACATACGTCGAACTCGAATTACTTCATCGGTATTCCGTCCCGCGAAATGATTCTTGGTAACGATATTCACTATTCGGACACAACATCGACAACCGACATCCCCTATATCCACTGCCCCACCACTAACCCCCGCAGATGTCGAGGAGTACCGATAAGCGATATGTACGCTGGCGGGAGAAGACCGCCTCAAAGATCACGATAGATATGAAACGGACCGAGTGGCACTACCTCATTCCGATCAGGAAGTGAAACGAGCTCCAACAGCAGTCACACGCCGGGGCGGCCGTGAAGGACACCGTTCGTTGGCGAAGGATTTAGTTCGTGGGGTGATACAGGACTCGGGCAAGTGTGAGTGATACAGCCTTAAGTTGCACAAGCAGAAAGAGTCCCAGAGTATGAGTCAGCTTAGTTCGATTATTTTTTTGCAGCGTTCCGACTTGATGTGTTATTTAATGTGGTCAAAGCGGGCGACACTTGTTTGCAATTGCTTGTTTGTGTGCGCATTCGGAGTCCCATCTCTGCTTTATACCACATCGCTGTGGAGACTGGCGAAGCCCATTGTTGCGATTCTGCCTGTGGCTACCTCTATTGAGTCTGGGCTTCTTTATTTTGCTTCCCTCCATCAAGGGTGAGGCTTACCGCCGCGCAAGAGGCTGGCAGATCGGAGATCCAAGATGTACGCCTGTAAATCCTCCGAGTACCAACATACCGGCGCGACCGCCCGAACTAAGCTGACTCATACTCTGGGACTCTTTCTGCTTGTGCAACTTAAGGCTGTATCACTCACACTTGCCTGAGTCCTGTATCACCCCACGAACTAAATCCTTCGCCAACGAACGGTGTCCTTCACGGCCGCCCCGGCGTGTGACTGCTGTTGGAGCTCGTTTCACTTCCTGATCGGAATGAGGTAGTGCCACTCGGTCCGTTTCATATCTATCGTGATCTTTGAGGCGGTCTTCTCCCGCCAGCGTACATATCGCTTATCGGTACTCCTCGACATCTTGTGATCAGCCTAAAATCATTCCAGACCAGGATCGATTATTATCGGAACTGCTTTGAACTGAACGAAAAAGCCGCTCACCGGTGCCCTTCTGCTTGGATCTCTCATGGAGACTGTGCTTTCTAGCGGGCCGGATTTTCGTGGGGTTTTCTCGATTCATAATTGACTGCAATTTAGCGTCGGAGTGCTATGTTAGAACTCGGGAATCCCCATCAGAACATATGAACAGCTCTGGGTCATTTATGTGGGCCTTGCGACTGGCTAATGAAACCATACTATCATTGTCGCTCGTCATTGGCCATCAGACTTTTGACAGATCGCCCGGCACTTTGTGGGCCTTGTGCTCCCCTTGTGCTGTACAACCTCCAAGGTCGAACAAGGGCACAAAGTGTTGCCCAAAACGGCCACAGGGTCAACAGGCTCACAAGCCACAAGGGAATGTCCAAAATTTCCACAAGGTCAAGATATTCCCCCCAATTTCTCAATTTTCTTTCTGGATCCCATTCGACATTATTCATTATTCATGCTTTTTACCTTTTCAAAAAAGGCACAAGAATTTTGTCATCCAAAGGCTGATCAGTGCATCGCCTCGACGCCCCACTGACATTCTCTTCCAATTTAGTTTTCTAAATTTTCTTCTATAAATCTCACACTCACACAAGTTCCTTTAGACAATTCAATAAATCAACTTCAGGACCGAGCGCCCATCTGCTGGCTCGGTATCCTCGTCCTGAAAAGGCGAAAGATTTGAAATAGAAATCCCGCAATTGCCGTAAGATGCCGCCTGTCAGTTCTGACCTTGTCATCCTCGACCATGATGCACCCACATTGCGACGGCAGCCGCTCGGGCGTTCTACGGGAAACAGTCCTTTCTGAATTAGGTGCATAGGCTGTAATATTCGAACGTCCAATTCTCCGGGTACAATCGCGGCTCTTCCTTTCCAACAGAAGTTCGCTTACTCGATACCACAGCTTCCAAGTCTATATAATCTCGGCGTCGCCAATGTCAAGTCGATGCAGCCGCCCCAATGGACCACAAATCTCGACGGCCTGGCACTCTCATACCAACCATCTTTGAGCAATCCGATTCACCTACCCTGCATTCCTCCTCGTCGTCCTCAAACTCTCCATGTATGCCGAACGTGGTCGGCAAGAAGAAAGCGCTACTCATTGCGATAGCCTCCAAGATACCTGGTTATGCAGCATTGCATGGGGCGCATAGAGACGTCAGGGCAATGCGGGAGCTGCTGCTGAAAATGTAGGACTATCGTCTGTCATCGAGGCTCTCTTGCTCACTTGACCTGTAGGTACGACTACCAGCCAAGCGACATCACTTTGCTTATAGACGATGAAATCGCTGATCATCCGCAACCCACACGGGCCAATATCGTGCGTATCTATCCACAAGATCTAATCAGCGCTGATCGTGATAGTGCCTGCAGCTCAAGGCGATGGCCGACCTTATTGAGGATGCGAAGAGCGGCGATGAATTCTTCTTCCACTGTGAGTGTCCGTGCTACTGGCGGTCATACGCGACTGGATCGATGGCTAGATTGCGGACACTCTATGCAAATAGAGAATCACACCAACAGCGAAGAGGATGGGATGGACGAGTGTGAGCCTCACACTTCCTGGCGCCATCGCCGTACTAATCCCGGTCCAGGTTTCGTTCCCTTGGATGGCGAAGCGATGAGAATCGTGGACAATGTCAGTCTACCCATCGTCGATGTGGACCGAGTCCTCACTTATGTTTTGTTCTCCACTCAGGAAATACGCAAGATTCTTGTCGTACCTCTGCCAATCGGATCCCGCCTCGTCACCGTACTCGATACGTGCCATTCTGGGTCTCTACTCGGTGCGCCTGTGTCTCGCTACCTATCTAGCCCGCTGCTCATGGTCCTGCGCGTAGATCTCAAGCACTACAGATGCAACCGTGTGTGGATCCCGTGGCTCTATAAGGGAACCAGATCCAGTGAAGCGGAGCGCAGCATGATGGGTCCGTGTTCTTCCTCCTCAGGCTATAAATCTAAGCCCTCTTTTAGTTCGGCGCAATGCTTTAGCTAGTTCTGGTAGTGCCACATTTGCAACGCGAAGAGTCGCCCAAACCTCTCGGACCTCTTCCTCCTCTGTCCGCACAAAACATACCCTGATCGATGTCGGTGAAACCCAGCAACCGACCCAATCTGTACCCCAATCCCCCATCGATGCCCTACCTCGTCGGGTCAGCAGCGGAGCCCCTGGCGGCACTCCCGTAGGGCCACGCACGACAATCTCTCGCCTTCGCACCACTTCGATTCGCTGTCCGTTGGGAAGCATAGAGAATAACCAGGGTGTTCCGCTCGACGTTAATGCGCTGCCTCTTGTGCAGCTGGTCGAAAAGTCGCGGTTCTTGCCCGACGATGCAGTGGTCTGCGATAGCCCTATCCCAAGGTGGCCATGTGACGGCTGGTGTCGCGATTCTGGGCGTGTCCACGCGGATGACGGTATCAAGGCAGATATAGTGTCGCTTGCTGCGTGCCGGGATGCAGAGTTTGCATGGGACGACGCAACAGGCTTCAGTATGACCTGTGTAAGTCCTTCTGTGCCTCGTCCGAGTGAAGCTTATATGCGGACGTAGGCACTCATCGAAATTCTCCAGGCTGATCCGAATCCGACGCTGAAGGATCTCGTCACGAAGCTCAGGTATATAATGCAGTCTTGTTGTTGGAGCTGGTCGTAACTCCAAATATAGCTACGGGCTACGTAAACTCGCCTTCGTCCGACATGGCAATTCGAGGGACAACAAGACGAAACGCAATGATTATGAAGCCATACTTAAGGAGAGGATTGCCATATACAAGGGGTCGACAGTTTCCCTTTCGACTCAATCTAGCGCAACTCCTTCTCCATTGGCTCCCGTGAAAACCTTTCCCGCTCCTGCGCGCCGACAATCCAAACAGCTGGCTCGAGTCCTGAGGGCGTTGAGGAAATCCCGTGAAGCCAAGGGACAATACGACCAGAACGCCTTTCAGCATCCGGAGCTTTCGAGCCCACTACCGCTGAATATGGAGACCCGCTGGAGGATGTGAATCGTGCGTGTTCTCCACCATCCTTTTTCCTGTCATCCACTGACATTTTCTCAGCAGCTGACCACGCGCTTCATCTATTTTTGATTCGCTCTCATATCTTCCTTATCAATCAAATATCTGGCCATCATTATCGTGCTCCGACTTCCTCTACCATTGTTTTCCTCGCTCTGGCAACTGTGACTTTGCTGTCTCGCTTTCCTGCTTTCAATCTTGGCTCTTTTTTTCATATTTGCACTGTATTGCTTTCGTATCCACATATGTATCAAATTCCACCAATAGCTACTAGCATTCCGCAAAGGCGGACACCATATATAATACATCCTATGACTTCATTTTTCTATTGCCCACATTACGGCAAAAACTCGATAATATAATCGCCAATTACCACGTAAATTTGGGTTGCGTTATTTTCTGTGTAGAGCTAGGCATGCTTGACCTAATTCGCTCTCTGTCCACTGCAGCGTATTGTATGACAGCAGTCCACTTCCCCCCAACAAGCGGCTCTTGTGAATTTCTGAATAAAAAACTGAGATATAATAAACAACTGCGAGAAACAAAATTGAATCGAATCAGAGTGGATGAAAAATGAACAAAATAATGAAAACAACAAAATAGAGGAATTTGTTGCACCTGCCTAATCGAGAAGATCATGTGCTGAGCGGCCATCACCCGACAGAAACAAGCAT